GGGAGCCCGGGAGCCTCCGCGGCTGTGGGGCTTGTTTGGTTGGTGGTTTTGTTTTGCTGTTTAGAGAGAAGGTCCTCTGCAGCAGTTCACACCTGACCTTGGAGCCCTGATGTTGAGTCATACCCTTGAGGTCATGGTGCAGAACTGAAAGGGGTGGTGGACGTGCAAGCCAGCTGGCCTGGGACAGGCTTAGGAATGGAGACCCGCCCCTGCGTGCTTCACAACAATGGTTACAATGAAATCATCTCTCTGAGACGCTGATAAGGGCCACGTCTTCTGTTCTCTCCAAAGGGCTTGTCCGTGCCACGTGTCCCAGGGACATCAGCAACACCCTCAGGGCCCCTGGAGCTTCCGGGGGGCCGCTAAACGAAACCATTTTGCATTTTCAGAAGCAGCTGGAACGACACAAGCGCTCCCGGGGCGAGGGACCCCACCTCTAAAGTGGTGACTCTCCCTAACACCGGACAACTTTCTTCCTTCATCAGAGGAGGACAACACCACCAACAACGACCCCCAAAATAAAAAATCCAGATGAAGTCATGCACTCTTTCAAAGCCCGCATGGACACTGTAGCGGATCGGGCGTGCAACCCGAGAGAGCCCGAGGGAAGCCCCGTTGGCAGCCAAGCTGACCCAGGCAGCCCCCTCCCCGCCTGTGACTGTCCCAGGCTTGAGTCAGCACTGGTCAGGTCTGAGACACAGCTCACGGGCGGGGGTCTCGCCTCCGTTTCTGCCCCTCTGTCCAAGTATTAGAACAACAAGAGAGAGAGTGACTGCCACTCTCCCCACCAACCTGGAGCCACCCACGGGGACCTCCCACTCTAGGAGAGAAGTCCCCGGACGCTCAGGAGCTCCCACCCATGGTGCGGTCTTCACCACGCAGCGCCAGAGCCCACCTCAGCACGGCCCAGAAAGCAGCCCCTGCCTGGGCCTCCTGCTCTACAGCGGGGTCAGCCCCAGAGGGTGGACCCCGGCCACAGTCACCACCAGTCAGGTGGCCCTCTCAGAGAGGAACGTGCTTCCTCCTCTTGGACTTCTTGTCCACTGCCATCTACTCGGCTGCGTGGAGTGGACGGCAGAGAGAAGTTTTGCCCGGTCTCCGGCACCCTCTCCATGGCGGTTGGATGGCTTGGGTCCATAGTGTGGCCACTGTGCCCCTCCACCTCCTGGAAGTTGTCCCCCTTCTCACTCGCCGACCCCCTGTCCTTTGCTAGCGATGGGCTTTACGGATGAAGTGTCCAGGGCCAGTGGGCCCAACTCGCTCCGTCCTCGCTCCTAAGGAGCTTTCTGTCGAAGGTTCTTCCAAGACAGACGGGCCGGTTCGTCGGAGTGTCCCCGGCACCCGCGAGAGCCTTCCCGGCCCCCCAGTTGGGACACAGCAGGACACAGCAGCTCTTCTCCGATCCTCCCTTTGGCTATGTGTTTGCCTCCACGGTTTCACTGCCGTTTCCTCCACACACCTGCCCAGAAGAGCGTGCGCCGGAGTGCCGGAGTGCCGCAGCCGCTTCGAGAACCCGCGCCCTTCCTTGTACTCCTCATTAACGCAATTACGTTTTTTAGTGGTGGCAGAAATATGTGCCACCACACCTTCTCCACACCGCTGGGCCGTGGAGGCTACCCCGTGGTGCCGCCGTGATGGACACCCCGCTCCGAATCAGCCCACCACCAGTGACCGGAACTCAATGCCCCTGCGCAAAAACACGTCCTCCTTCTCCCGCGGTGACTGCTGGTCAGCTCTGGTTTCTTCTATGGCTCTTCTTCAAGTAGTGTTCTTGACATAAGATTCCCATATGGCTGGCAACATAGGTACAGATGTGCTTGGCACAATGGATGTATGGATTGTTAAAAGGGCTGTAAGAGCCCCCAGTAAAATGATTTTTAAAAAACAAGAGTCCCATATGGTAGACTTGCAGAGTTAAGCTCCTTTGTAAAAGAGCACATACATGTCCATCATCACTGTCCGCTCTGGTGCCCCTCCCCCTTTACATTCCATCCGCTTTCCCTTAGCCAGTGCTGCCTGGCCTGTGAGGGGACGGTAAAGCCATGGTTTGGGTCAGGCCCACCTCAGTCAGCAAGGGCCACCTTTTCTTTTGACACTCTTAAAGAGGTAGCTGGCAACAGGTCAGCTTGGGAAGAGCCCTCTTGGGGTGGAGGGGCGCCACAAATATCTTGGCAGTAATGCAACTCGGGGAGCCTATAGTGGCTCAGGTACTAGCGGAGAGACCAGGGCTTCTAGCCCACGCCGGGCCACCTGCTGCTGTGGAAAGGACAAGGACAGCCTTGGAACATGGACAGGGTAGACCTGCTCTGTCCTGAGGGTCAAGGAGAGCCCACACTACATCCGTGGCACACACCACCCTGCAGCCCAGGGACTGAGTGGTGGCCCCTCGGGGCCAAGGAGTGAGCATCCCAAGTTCATTCTAATTGCCCTTTGTGACTTTTAGACTGAGAAGGTGGGGGGGGGGGTGTCCACTAAACTAAGGCTGGTGGTCAGCAGGGGCCCACAGGTGAAACATCCTCCAGCAAGGCAGGGCTCCTGAGAGGCAGCGGTGGGGCACAGGGGGCAGGCACTATGGGGGAGGGGGAGGGTGTGGCAGCCGGACCTTGAGGGCCATGGTTCTGGGAGGGTGGATTTGTCTCTGAGTCCCCAGCCCCTGCCTCACAGGGGCTGCAGGCTTTTATGGGTGGGCCTGCCAAGAGGGTCCTCTGGCTTGAGGGCAGCTCCTGGCCACTGTGGGGCCTGGTTCAGAGTGGACTCCAGAGTGAGGCCGGGGGCCTGGATTCCAGGGCACCATGGGCCTGCCCCTCGGGGCACCAGGCTGCAATGCTGACTGGTCTTGCTGGGTGAAGGGCCCGTGTCATACTGGCAGAGAGCCGGAGACCTGGGGGCCCCGATCTCCTTTCCACATCCCCCCCCCCACACACACACAATCCCATTGCAACCCCACTGGCACTCCCTCCAGCTGTGTCTCACATCCCCTCCCTGCTCAGCCTGCTGCAGCCTGAGCCCACTGGGTCCCACGCCGGGTGCAACCCTCCCAGTTTGCCTTGGGGCCTTGTGCCCTCCGCCCTCCACAGGTTTGGGGGAGTGTAAGTGGGGGAGAGGGGGTTGCGCACGAGGCCCAGGCATCGTGTGTCCAGAAAATGGACCCAAGTATGCCTCATGGTCCCTCTGGCTCCAAGGGCCCCCAGCCCCACTCAGGCCTTTGTGCCGGCTCTGAAGGCCCCCCCCCCACACACACACACTGCCAATGTCAGCATGTGAGCAGACAGAGGGCTCTGGGCCTCAGGGAGAGAGCACGGCGGGGTGGTGAGTAGGAGGCTGCCCAGTGCTACCAGCCAGCCGGGACTGGCCCTGGGTACGTTCTGTGGCCGTCTGCAGTGGGTGGAGGTGGACATCGCCTCTGTGCCCGCCTTCTACCGTGAGCTGAGCTCACACCCATTGGGTGTCCTGGGCTCACTGAGGACTAGGGGGCACGAGGAGAGAAAGGAGGGGGCCCTGACGTCTCAGTTCAGATGGGGAAACTGAGGCTAAGGGGGTCTTTCTCGTGTTTCCTTGGGGAGTCTCAGGACCCAACACCCAGGAGGGCTCTGTGGGGAGCAGGCTTTGTGGACAGGTACCCCATCCGTGGCAGTCCCACCTGGAATGAGAGATACCAGCCATGTGGGTCGAAGTCGGGGGCTCTCTGAGACTCAGAGGGTACTGACCCTGGCCGGCCCACCCGTTCTATACCCAGTGAGCTGGCCCATTGGGTCCGGGAGCCCCCTTGGGCCCCAGCACCCAGCCTCCACTGCCCACCTTGGAAGGTGGCCTGATCCTCCTCCATCTCGAAGCACCTTGTTCTGGTCACTCAGGTGCCACTCCCCCACCCCCGGCCCAGGTGAGTTGTGTGTCCAGTGTGGCTCATTCCCATGTCCTTGTGGGGCCGAGGGTCTTGGGGGTGGGGTGAGCCCCTTGCACACTGCCCCTGGCCTCTCTGGCAGTGGGGGGAGGTGAAGTTAATCATATGCCTAAACACATCTTGGAAAATTGCAGGTTACACCTGGCCTTTGTCCCTCGTACACGAGTGTGTGGTGGGGGTTGGGGGAGTAGGGCGGTGGGAATGCATAGGGGGCTTCGGTCCTGCATTGAGCCTCCGAAGGGTTAATTTAAAAACCACGGACCTCTCCGTCTCTCACTTCGTCCCCCACCCCACTAGACTCTCCCGCGAAAACGCTCCTTCACACGTCACCCTTCCCATGGTAACCATAACTTTCAGAGGCTTATAGGTCAGTTATGAAAAAATAAACCTTTCCTTTTTGACTGAAAGTGGAGGCTTTGAAACCAGAAAGCTGGCGAGAAGCGTGGGGGGGGGGGGGGGGGGGGGGGGGGGGGCGCTGAGGGGCGGGGCGCAGAAGGACCGCGGAGGTCTCCAGTTCCTGATCACCCCCAGCCAGGCCCAAGTGCTCTTGGAGTCCACCCGCCCCCTGCCCCTCCTCCACACAACCCGGAAGACATGAGGCACAGCGTTCTACAGCTGGGCATTGGGGGGCCTTGTGTGTATGTGGGGGAGGGAGAGCTGCTGGACCCCGGGGGTTGGGGCCTGGGCTTTGTGTCCAAACTTGAAGGTCCAGGGTGGCAGGGCCCCGCCCTGCAGTCAGGAGAGTCTGCCTCGCCATAGCCTTTGCTGAAGTCCAGGGATCCCACTCCCCAGCCTCTGTGGAGGCAGCCCTACCCCCCTCAGCCCAAACTCCAGAAGAAGGGAGCAAGTGTGTGGAGGGGTGGGGTAGAGGGGAGGCTGGGCCTGGCACTTGTGAATTGGCAGTGAGGGCCCCACCCCACCCCTGGGCCCAGGTGGGCAGCAGCAAGTGGCCCCTTAGAATCTAGCCTGAGCCCGGCCGATGCAGTCAGGGCTGCCCCGGCCCCACCCACTGCCAAGGGGCCCCTGGGGCCTCTGTGTTCTTCCCCTTGCCCGGTCAGTGGGGTGTGAGGCGGCGTGGTCAAGCAAGGAGGACCCCATGTTGCAGCACTTATTGATCTCTTTATTAACCCCCAATGGAGGTAGCCAGGGCAGTGGTACACACGGCTCAGGAACCATTTGAACAAGTTTGTCGTCAAATTCACAGATAGTATATATTGGGCTCAAGGAAAGCTGGCTGGCGAGAGGCGGCTGTGTGGCGGCGTTTAGGTCGGTTGGCAGCTGCGGGGGGCGCCCTCCCCTAGATCCATCCCACTGTCAAGACACATTTAAGGTGTGGTGAGTGACCAGGTGCAGGTGACCTTGCGTTGGCATCAACCAGTGACCGGGCAAGGGCGTGGCAGAGTGGCCCACGCCTCGACATAAATAGAAATATAAGTTAGTATAACTTTCTTAAATTTTTTGTACAAATATACATGTTTTTCTGATTTTTTCTCTTTTTTTTTCCATTTTACTTTTTTCTTTAGCACTGAGTTGCAGCAGAGATTAAACACTTTATATAAATGACTCTTACAGCGCTCTCCCCTAGTCTGGGGTGGACAGTGCACCCTCCCGCAGAGAACAATGAGATAGAAAGGGCGATCTTAGTACATTGCACAGTTTTCCAACGACTTAAAACACAAAAAACAGCCGATCCTCCGCGACTGCCACCGCGGGCCCTTTTGTTGCTACATGGACGGTTCGAGCCGAGCTGCTCTGGTGCTCCCTCGAGGGGCTCCCTGGAGGCTCCTCCACTGCCAGACTGTGGGGGCGGGGGTTGAAAGAGACAAGGGATGAGTGCCGGCCCCCCCACATGTCCCCCAAGACCTGCGGGGAGCGCCCGCCCTGTTTCTTCCCCCCTCCCAAGTCCCGGGCCGGCCAGCATACTCACCTGACTTACCGCAAGCGCTTGCGGGGAGTTTGCTCTGCAGACCCGACGGCAGCTGGGGATCCGGGGGCACTGCAGCCAGAGGCCACCTCGCTGGACGATCCTTTGGCCTCGGATGCAACCCTTTTACGCTTGGGGTAAAAGTCTGCTGGCGATCGGGATAGCAAAGACCGAAGTCAGGACCCGCGGGGAGGAGGGAGGGGAAGGGGGGCGCCCAGGTCCGCAGACGGACGGTCAGCTTTGTTGAGGTCGAAGCAAAGTGCAGCGTAAGCACTTCCCCTTGTCCCGCGGCCAAGAACCCACCCCCCACACCCACCCACCAACCCACCCGCCGCCGCAGCGGCCTTAACCCGTTAGACGCCAGGAGGGGCTCGGGGCGCCCCCAACCGCCCCGAGTCCCCTCCCGCGCATCACAGACGGCCAACTCACTTGAGACCAGCGATCCAGACAGTTTCTTCATGGCCCCGCCGGAGTTGGCAGCGGCGTTGGCGGCGGGCGCCGAGGGAGCCGGGCGCGCGGCCACCCCGGGGTGCAGAGTGTCCCCCACGGGCTCCGGGCTGCGCGGCTCTTCCATCTCTTCCTCCTCACCGTCGTCCTGGGGCGCGTCGGGGGCCGGGCCGGGCGGCGGGGTCGGGGCGCGCGCCACCGGCGCCGGGGC